TTGTGCAGGCTCTCCCTCCGTCGCTCGCGGCTCCCCTCTGGGCGGCGCGGCTGGCCCAGCCCCTCGCTCGCCCCTGGGGAATTGCCACCCGACTTCGGCATGAGGCATCCAAAGAGGGTCACCAAAGCACCGAGGTCCGTGCCTGATGGAGGGAGAAGCGGAGGACTGAAAATCTGGGCCGCCTTGCTCCCGGCTCTTTTTTTTTCACTTGGATGAGCTGTCGGGGAGGGCTCAGGCTGTGGGCGCAGCGCGCGGGGGAGCCCAGCACCTTCCGCGTCGCTGCAGAGCTCTGAACTCGCAGCCGGCACGCGGGTTGCCTGCCGCGGTGGTCCTCGCTCTGCCGCTGATCCCGCCCGAAACCCTTGGGCGATTCCCTGATCTTCCCGGGGCTCCAGTCCTGCCTTGGCTGTAACAAGGATCTCCCGTTACACAGCACGGTGACTGAGCAGTGACTCCGTAACGGGAGTCACCGAGGGAATAATGCGTGCAGCCTTCCTGGCCTGCAACAGGAGAATCGGAGAATCCAGCACTGTTGGCCTGGGGCCCCATATTCGGCACCTTACAAGGGCCACTGACCTGTACCTAGCGACAACCAGACCTCCAGCAAGGCCTGTTTCCACAGCAAGTTTCCCCTGTTGCTTCTGGGCCATTTTTGAGATGTGAGCTTCAACCCCTCTTGCTGTTTTCTGGGTTTGTTTTTGAGCATGAGTGGATTTTCTTTCCCTGTCTCCATCAAAAAATGGCTGGACTGTCTTTGCCCGAACCCCCGAAACAAACCCCAAATGAAACCAAACCACACTGGCAATGGCAGCCTTGGGGTTCTGCTATGACACTGTTTATTAGTGGGGCAAAGCGAGTGCCTGAAGCTTTGCAGATAGGTGGGACTAGCTCTTTGGTCATCGGCATGACTCCGTCTCCCTGTATTCTGTGACAGATGGTAGGGGGCTGTTGCTGCTGCCCATCGCTGGTAGAGTCCCCCAGCCCTGAGGAGGTATGCCATGCCTGCAGTATGTGGTGCTTTGAGCTCTCTTCTTCCTCTTCACAGGGTCACATCATCCTCTGTGCTGTCTCCTGTCTTGGGCATTGCCTCTGTCCTAAACAGGGGCCCTGTCTGGGACAGAGGTACATGCTTTTGGGGTGATGTGACCTCCCAGTGGGAAGCATCTGTGACTTCTCTGCTCTGTCGCTCTCTTTCTTTGAAGTGGGTTTTGGTGTCCTGGAGAGTGGATTTGCTGACCTAGTTGTAGGCCTGGCTGCTGTATGCTTTCTGCTCGTGCAAAGTGGGGCTGCAGGCCTCCATCTTCTAGGGCTTGCTTCAAAAGAGTGGCTGGGAACCTTTGTTCGAGCTGTGGATCTCAATTTCTGTACTCCAGCGGCGGAGTGGGTATCTGTACACCACAGTTAAACAAGCCCATCATTGGCCAGTTTAAAGTCCCTTTTTGCAGACCCCTCAGGGGCCGTGGACCCACAAGCTTGAATGTGGTGATTTAAGGGTTCCCCCGCTTCGCCCACACATTGCTACTGGAGATATTAAGAGAGGAACATGCACTAGCATTGGTCACAACACCCCTCAGCTCTCCCATATTGGGAGTTCATTGCAAACAGAGTCATGCTGAGAAATGTAAATGATGCCGGTGGGATTTTGAGATGCTCTTTGCTGGGAGCAATTGTGCGGAGGAGGGGAGGGGGGTCTAAGCCTGTGGGATTGGGAAGTGCAGTGAAATACCAGCATGGGGATGCGTGGTTGGATCCAGACTCTGACAGGTTATTTTGTCAAGAGCAGCGGTACTGTGAGAAATAGCACAGTCTTTTTGAATTTTAAATGTTTCTTTCGCTGCAAGATGGACGGCAGCTGGCTCCTTGTACGTAATGCTGCACAGAAGCCTTTTGCAGGTTGAGGTACAGCCGTTGTCTCTGCTTGGGGCATCTGTGGCAGTTTTGCCAGGACTCATCTGCTTCCCCCTTCACACCTGCATGTTTTTAACGTGCCCGGTGTTGATCAAGGGGAGCACTGCGAGGTGGCTGCCTGGTCAGGCCGGAGAGAGCTGTGCCTGTAGTGCTCCGGTGACGCCAGGACAGCTCCCGCAGGAGGGAAGGGACAGGGCTGACCCAGCGTGGGTGGGTTATCGATGTGCCTCCCTGGCCCTGAGAAAGGCAAGTACGAGGGCTACTGCCTTTGGCTTTGGGCAAACGGAAATGCCTGGGCTCACCTGGAATACACTAGAGGCCGATGTGGCTGTGTCCCGGTGGAGCTGAGAGGCAGCGCGGTGGGTTGATTTTCCTTTTTGTCCGTGCCTACCCCTTCCTGTGTCACCCGTCTCTTCTCTGACGCTCGGGGTGGTTTCTGTCCCCAGGTGAAGACTGAGATCAGCGTGGAGAGCAAGCACCAGACCCTGCAGGGCCTGGCCTTCCCCCTGCAGCTGGATGCTCAGCAAGCTATCCAGGCGCTAAAGCAGAAGAAAATCAATTACATCCAGCTGGTAGGTCCCTCGTGCAGCTCTCTGACCCTCCCTGAGTTTCCAGAGCTTGGGACTTTGACTGCTGAAATCTCACTCCCTTTGCCTCTCCCCATCCCCTTTGTCGATCAGAAGCTGGATCTGGAGCGGGAGACCATAGACCTGGTGCACACAAGCCCCACAGAGATAGCCGACCTGCCCAAAAGGGTCCCCCAGGACTCGGCTCGCTACCACTTTTTCCTGTACAAGCACTCTCACGAGGGAGACTACCTGGAGTCTGTTGGTGAGTCGCGGATGTACTTCTGTCGCTACGGTTAGCTTGTTAGACCCGCTCCGCCTGCCTGGAGCCAGTGCTCTGCCCGCAGCAATAGAGGTCAGGCAATTGTCTGCTCTCCCCTGGACCATCGCCCTCTCGGGGGAACAAGCAGTACTGGTGATGTGGATGGTGCTGGGGGCCTCGACCTGGTTCCCATTTGCTGTCCTCTGGTGATGGGCATTAGCCTAACAAGAAGCAAGCCCTTTGCTGCCAAAAGAAGCTGCCGAGCACACACGCAAGCGCTCCGCCCAGGAGTCTCTAGGGTGCTGCTGAACGTAGCGTGCTGGGGAGCTGATGCAGAGCCTTCTGGGATGGCTTGGTAGCTGTCGTGGTACAAGCATCTGAGGGCATAGCAGAGCCAGAAAAGATTTGTGGAGGGGTACCTGGACAAGCTATATGGTCAGTGGGATGGCTTGACTTGTGTAGCTGAGTAGACTGGGACTCTTCAGACTAGAAGAGCTTTGACCGAGCTGGGATCTGCTGGCTGCCCCCTGCCTGGTTATCCTCGGCCCTGAACCTAAGCAGTGCTCTGAGCCCTGCTCTTTTCTTGCAGTGTTTATCTACTCCATGCCTGGGTACAAATGCAGCATCAAGGAGCGCATGCTCTACTCCAGCTGCAAGAGCCGGTTGCTTGACACCGTAGAGCAGGATTTCTGCCTGGAGATAGCGAAGAAGGTAAGTCCAAGCTGCCTGGAGGTAACTGCGGAGAGCGCTATGCAGGGGCATGGGCAAGGGAATGTGCCATGGCCAAACCGAAGGCTTGTGTCAAATGGCAGCATGTCCCATGGGTTTGAACAGGGCCTCCTCTAGGGAAGTCTGGGAGGCCTCAAGCGTTGCTAGACTCATTTCAAAGGGGCCTGAACAGAGGGCTGGAGAAAATGGGAACAGTGGTGCGTTGGCCTGTGTAACCCATCCCTAAAACAGTGTTACACAGTGGCCTGTGATTTGCGGGAAGGCTCTTAGCAAGAGAGGAGTGGTATTTGGCCTGCATCCCTTCTGGCCTGGAGTTTCTCTGGTCCGGGGCCTTGCAGGAGCGTAGAAGCACCAAACGCTTTCCCTCCTGCGAGCACAGCACCCCTTGCAGTGTCCTTGGCCCATTCAGTGGGAATGCTGAGTGAGGGGCTGGTTGCACGGTGGGGTTGGCGCTTTCTCCTGCAAGTAGTGCTCGACTGGGTTCTCCAGGTCCTTGAGCAAACCCCACCGGTGAGCTCGGAGAGGAGGGGTGGGAGTTCCCTGAGGACCAGTGTTTTGGTGCCCTGAGGAAGGGGGTAAGATGGTGGCTCTCTGCGCAGGAGCCAGCAGCACGGCACTGACCTGTCATTTCCACGCGCAGATTGAGATAGACGACGGAGCCGAGCTGACGGCGGAGTTCCTCTACGACGAGGTGCACCCCAAGCAGCATGCCTTCAAGCAGGCCTTCGCCAAGCCCAAGGGGCCTGTGGGGAAGCGAGGACAGAAGCGACTTATCAAAGGGCCAGGAGAGAACGGCGAAGACAGTTAGATCCCGGAGGGGCAGGAGGACGGGGCAGGAACAGGGCTGTGAACGGACAGCATCCGAATGGTGTTTCCCAGCTTCCACCCCTCCACTTCCAGGCCTCTCTGCTGACCTAGGGATCTTTTCCCTCCATCTCGGCTTTTCTTTCCCCTCCCCTTCCTCTTTTTCCTTTTCTTTCCTTTTTAAAATCAGGACAGCCTGTTTTCATGCTGGGGTAGAGTGGTGGGGAGGGGGGGCAGGGAACCTGGGTCTGTTTTCATGTTTCTTTCCCCTGTCCTTGTGCAAGTCCTGGGGCAGTTGGAGGAGGACAGGAACAACAGGGAACGCTTCTCCAGCTTGTTCTAGTCCCACCTGGGTTTGTGGCTGTTGCTCTCGATGCTTCCCCCGGTTTACCTGGCACCTGCACCAACTGAAGGACTTACTTGCAAGCTGCTCTATGCAAAGGAAGGAGATGACATTTGGGATTAGTTTAATATCGGAAAACAAAATGCTTCTTTCCCTGTTTCCCCCTTCCTACAGACTTCCGCTCTCCCCTTCCCAGTCTCTGGGTCTAAGCAGCCCCTCTATGCAAGTCTCCTAGCTGGCCGGGCACTGTTAGGTTGCAGGCAGGACGCCGTCCCTGCGCGGAGAGCTCTGCGGCTGTGGTTGGCGTTTGTGGCAGGAGAGTCTGTCCCTTGTGAGAGCCAGCGCTGTGTTTTGTCTGGATTTGCCTTTCTGGGAATGAAGACGCCTCTCCCCTTTCCCTCCTGCTTCTCGTGTATCGTGCAGAGCAGCCTCCGTAGAGGACGTGCCCGCCTCACGGCCAGAGGCACTGGCTTCAGGCCCCCATGGAAACGCAACCGGTGGCTGCTGTTTGCCAGCTGCTCTGCTCTCGCTGCTTCTGCTGGCTGGCTTTGTGCCTTCCCAAGGGGAAGAAAAAGCAGGGCAGACGCTGTCACCTTCCCGAAACAGAAAGGGCGC